TGTGTGTGTGTGTGTGTGTGTGTGTGTGTGTGTGTGTGTGTGTGTGTGTGTGTGTGTATGTATATATAAATGTATAGATATATATATATGATAACGAGTTTTAATCACAATTTGTTGCAAAGCGTTCTACGCCAATGACGTCGCACGTCCGTCCATTTTGTCAGTGCTGCGCAACCTTCTCGTTATTATCATCGCATTATCATTAACCTATTTATATGTGTGATCGCGTATACGTGTTACTTAAATTCGCACGAATCACTGTGACAATTGAGTCAATAATAGAGTTTCTCATCGCCTTTTTGTCAATATTGAATCTATTTTCCACGATATTTCTTGTAATATTTCTGTGTAATCAACATGATTGTTAAATTTGAAAAATAACCTGAATTTAAATAAAACAATGTCATTAGATATTTTTTTATAATTCTTCTAACACACAGATACATTTTTTTTCTTCATATAAAGAATATGAAGATTAAACGATTTTATTTTTTGTTAGATTTTTCATTAGGTTGTAGTTATTACATTTTTTGGAATATTTTCTTGTTTTAATCTAGATATTTTATTTTATTTTAAAAATAACAAAAGTTCAGAAAAGAGTTTCATTATATTTAATATAAATTTATACATCACGTATGTAAAATTCTCTAATTATTTTCGACTTTATTAATGCTTTATAATTGATTTTTCAAATTTCAACTTGCGACGTTAAGTTAACTTCATGATACTTGTTCTCAAACAATATGTAGTTCTCATCGATTTACGCAATTTTAATTGTAAATTATATGATGACTTCCTTTTTTCATATGATATTATCAGCTGAAGGAAAGAAAAACAGATAGATTTCTTCAGTTGGTGAAACGTTCAGTGAGTGCAAAATCTTCTTTTCTTTCTTTGAGAAAATCAGGGAGGGAAAATCTGTACTTACCGATTCGTTCTGAGGAATCCGTTATTTGAGCGTCACTGTACAACAGGCTTCCGCCGCCGCGCGCGTGTGTTTCTCCCCTTTCTAATCCACGCCGCGAGTCCCCATATAAAAATAAATTTTGAAGCCAGATCGTACGCGCGAGATCGGCGAAAGTGGCGGCACGATTAAAATCGCCCTAATTTCCCTTTAGATAGCAAAACAAGCAGCAAATAGTGAGTTCGTCCCTTCGTTCCCTTCGTTCCTCCCCGGCGAAAGTCGAGGTAGGTAACATAATCTTGGCGCGGCATAAAAACGGTAGTTCGACGCAAAGATTTCGCCGTTACGTCTGTCGCGATAACACAACGACGACGTACGACAGGGAAAAAATGTTACATAATCGATAATGCTAATTATTCGTGCGAATGCAATTCGCGATATTCGTTAGTGTTATACGTCCGAGAATACAAGACAAACACGGCCGTTTCGATAAATCCAATGTAAATTGGATAAATGGCATCAAGTAGCCTAATAATGGAATAATCCATTATTCTCAATTTGCGAATAAACTCCTTGAGTATATAAGCTTGATAATTTAATGGAGCTTACAATCGTGCTATTCTTACCTTCTATTTTCATGACTTTTGAAGAAATAATAGCGAAATTTTATCAGGAATAAAATTTATATTATTTGCAGCGCAAATAAGTGAAAGATTTCTTATATAGTAGTAGATTTCTTATATTCTAATATTCTATAATTCGTGACTTTAATTTTTTTGACAAATCTAGGCTTTTTATGTTGTATTAACATCTATAAATGTAATTACGTTACATATTCTGTTCATATATATTTTTCATTTCTATAATTTTCAAATTCAAAAGTTTCTAGCACTCTCCACAAGATGTCACCATCTATCAGGAATATATTTGAACGTCATCTGTGAGGAAAACTATCAAACACGAAAATGATCAGCTGATGCGGATATTATAGAAACGTCAAACGCATATGTATCTGCATACAAGGCTTGCCAGGACTCTTTATTTGATAGAAAAAGGATTGAAAGCTTACTTTTGATATTTTTTCATATGAAATTAAAATTTCTAAAGACGAGAGAAAAAGATCTTTTGATAAGAACGGATATATAAAAAGAAAGAGGTGAAGGATCTAAGATTCGGCATTCAAGTTAACAGATGTAAACATTGCTAGATTGAAAGTTGCGTCGTCGAAAATGGATCACGTGGAGATCGAGGATTTTTATCATCACGACTTTACCACTGTTTCCGAATGGGAAGTGTTTATCGCGCGACTCGAGGAAATTATGCATGAATGGAATCTCTCGCAAACGAAGGTCTCCAGTCCGCTCAAATCAGGAGACTTCGTCAATTGTCAGTGGCATGAAGCTTCGGAGAAGTTAAATTTTGCAGGTGCTTGCATTTAATGAATTTTACTCTATTGATTAACATTTAACATTTTATGTTTTATGTCAAAAGCAAGCTAAGATTAGTAATAAAAATAAAAATATACATTTATTATGATTTGTGAATTATGATTTATAATTAGATAACCATATGTTGCATGTGGAATATTCGGTCTAAGAGCATAGATTATTGGATATTGGCAATACATAGACTATGCATGTATAAATTTAATATTATATATTTTATAATATAAATTTTGATGTATCGCATTATAATGTATTTTATTAAGATATTTTTATTTTTTGATTCTTTTATTATTAATATTATTAATAATTATATCATTAATAATTATATCATTTTAGATGTAGAATTTTTGCTAAAACACTATAGGCTAGAAAAAGAAAATAAAGAGGATGATGCAGCAAATACTCAAGAGGAAAGTGAAGAAGAATGGATACAATGTCAAAAGGATGCTTTGGACATATCTAATGATTTTGTAAAACTTAATGATAATTGCATGGAAATAGCTCGCTATTATGGCGTTAGAGAATTCCTTGTTTTAATCCCAGCAAGAAAAGCGAGTTTAACAGATGAAACTCGAATTAAGATTTTACTTAGTTCGTTAACAATTGCGACTAACAATGCAAATTGGTAAATATAGTTAGTTTGACGACGATTGAATTGTATGTTTAACGCTGGAATGTTTGTCATAATTTGTTTTACATATTTTAGTTATATACCAGCATTAGTACAAGTTCAGGAACTCTGGCAGAAAATGTATCTTGGATGCTGTGCTGGTAAAGGAACTTGCGTGAGTCTCGAAATGGTGCATTTAAAAAAAATTCCGTCACATTGCAGATATCTTACTGGTATGCATTTTTTATGTTTCTATATATTTAATCTATCTTTTAATAATTGCTTAATAATTGCAATATGCGCAATTTTGATGCGCAATTAAAATGCTGATGATAATTCATTTTTTTCAATTACACTGCTTTCTAGTTGTAATTTTTGTAGAAATATGAAAATTATTTTATAAATATTTTTTTTACAGGATTACTTGCTCTTTTTAAACAAAAAAATTGGGGAAGGTTGTGGAGTAAAACTTGACTCTGTAATGGTGTCTGCCAGATTTTCTTATCTCTTAAAAGACTGGACAAACAATACGTGGACGCAGGAACCTCCAGATTTTGATTTTATGCAGGGAGAAGCATTAGGTGTAGCTGAACTGGGTAAACTTCCTTTTGGAGCGACCTTCGATCCCGTCGGGTACTTAAATTGAACATGTCTTGCTATTGTCAGGAGGATTGCAATAGAAAAACACTCTTTTTCAGCTTTATATAAAATAATTTTTTGTTACAAGTTACTTAATTTCAGCACTTTGTATCAACTTTGTATTGCCATATTTCTGACTATTACGAAGGAAGATTCTATGCGTGAAAATCTTATTTTACAATATTTTTAGGGAACTTCATTTATTTGTCACGTGGCCACAAATGTCGGATAATGTAGTGGTGGACAGCGAAGGATACTCGGATTTGGAGCCGCAACTCGCTCCTGAATGGTCAGTGCAAGTGAAAATGATAGCCTCGCCAGCTTGTCTACTTGGTGAATATATGACGGATTTTCTTCATTTGTGTAACAATCAGAAGACTATGGTGGAGTTATTGGGTGAAAATGCATCTTACATTCATGACGACGATCAAATGCTGAGTACAGCCTTCAATGTGCTCACTGAATCCAGAATACCCACAATTTCGACTGTCATGGGCAGAGCGAGTGCGAAAAAGAATAAAAATGTTGAAGGTCCAATATCAGAGGAGATATTGTTACCTATATTATACTTCCTTTTTCCAGATGCGGATGATACCTCGGTATGTTTAGTTTTATTAGAATTTTTTTGCAATGTTCTTTTTTAGTGTTTTTCATGGTAAATAGTAGTTCTTTTATAAAAGAAGTTAAGCATAATTTCACAACAATTGAAAATTTTTATGAGTTATATAGTTTTTAAAGTAATAGTATAAGCTCTTAATTATTTTAAATATAATTCACTAATTATTATTTCTGGAATAAAAAATTAACGATTAATTAATTTTATCCCTTTTTGCATAGATAAATATGAGTTTCTCAAATATTTTTGAAATAATTAGAATTAAATGATTTCTTTTACAAGAGATACATTTGAATATGTAAATGAAATTAATAATTATAAATTAAAAAATCCTTGCAGAAGTTTCCCTACGGCGATATCACGGCTAACATCGAAGATGACCAGTGGAAAGGTGTGAAGACTTGTGCAATGGACAGTCTGGTGTGGCGTCTATCGATTGTCGCAGCACATTGTATGCATAATCTTGGTGGCGCGACCGCTCTAGCGCAACTCTGGCATGAGTTTGTGCAAGAAATTAGATTCCGCTGGGAGAGGAATATCCTGATACCTGGGTAAGTAGTAAAGTAATTTATTTGTCATCAATACGCCGGACGGCGAGCCGCCCTCGTCATCTACGCGTGCAAACGCATGTGCGAAATACACGTACTATAAAATAAAATAGCGTCAATGAAGAAGGCTTCCAAAGCCTCTCATCACATTCTTTCGTTTCGCTTTTTATTCAGAACGATGGGAGCGACTTCGTTCTCACGATATGTCGATTCACTTGATCGAGATAGTGTTTCTCTGGAGACAAACACTTTGATTGCAGTCTTTGGACAATATAATCGCGAAGTCCGTTGTGCAAATATCAATAAACATTCATAAATGCGTACACTACGTGAACCGTCCAAAAGGACATTCAATTCACTCGCTTCAACGATTTGGTAATTAAGAGTATTATTGCATAAAATTGCTTAGAACTAGACAGGGATGTACATCTATGTGTAGCTTCTCAGTTTAACACTTGCGATTCGAACACTGGCTATATGCATTTACACAAGCATTACACGGTAATGCCTGCTGCATCGTGTTAGTGTCGAATGTGATCGAAGCCGAGTAAGTTTCGAACGTGTTAAATGTCGAAAAAATGTTTTTTCACATTAGAACACAATAGAACTGTACGAATGGATTCAGTCACTTCAGGATCTTCAATACTTAATGTGACTTCGTATAAAAATATACGATTGTATTACAACGTTTTTCAAAAAAAGATGTTTGACGCGTTCGGGACTCAGCTCTTCTCGATCAGAGCGACTGTCAAAGATTATCTAGATTTCACTCAGTGTCGCTTCGCTTTGCGAGAGCGCGCCGCACGAGGAAGAATAGTCCACTAGGCTGAGACTCTATTGGATTCTATTGAACACGCTTGAGCAAGAATGAACGACGAGATGATATGAGGGCCACGGATATTTAGAGCGGCACGAGGCCGCTTCTCGTAGTAGGATTGCGAGCCATATAGATGTCCATGTCGTGGTCGGTCCAGTTGTTCTCGTCATAATTGTTGAGGGTATGCGTGGAATCTGCTAAGCTATACCGACTACCAGGTCGCGGTGGATTTGGCTCCAGTGTGCGATTACGCGATCGTGGTCGCTGCCGCCGGGCCGATGAGTGTGGAGGCAGATGGTTATTATTGAAATTCGACCGCGACATTCGATCCGAGGCGGCCGCTAGCGACTGCCGCGATTGTCGTAATTCTGAAACATGACAAATACATACGTTGAACGATGGCTGAACGATTAAAAATCGTGATAAATTACTACAAAAACAAGCATCAAGATGATAAAATGACTGACCTGGTCTCGTGCTGACGAGATTGGAACCTAACGCAGTATTGGCAAAATATCGCGTGGAATTATTGGAGAAGCTGTGCTGAGATTGGCCGTCAGCGATTGACCGAGCCTTGCTACTGTAGTGTCCGGTCTGAGAGCGTACGTCATCGATGCAAGATGCTCTGGTGATCGATCCTGAAATCCATTTCACATAATTAATAACCTTGTACTTGTTACATGCACGTGTTAAATGCTACTGTTTATTTATAATATTTATCCAGTCAGATTTTTTACATTTCTTAAAGCTCTTTTAAAAACGCTCTTTTATATCTTAAAGAAAAGATCCATAGATATAACTAACGAAATTTATCTTAAAATTTTCAATTGAATTATCTAGACTATAAAAAGGATATTGTAAATATTATAAACCTAAATCTTTGTAAATGATAAATACAATAATTCACCTTGTCGATCGATAGGGAAGATTCTTGGTCGTGGTATGCTCCTGTTACTGTAGGCCGACACTTGGTCCCATTCCTTCTGAGCGTTATAGGCACTCAGGGTGGCCATTGATGACAGAGGTCCACCGGGGCTGGGTGTCGGACCCACGTTCGAGCAACAGTTGACCGGCAGACCAGCGATCGGTCCGCCCATTTTTGTCTGATCGATGCTGTGTAACGTATGCAGCTTGCGGGCACGACGTCTATTCGCGATCACAAAGATGATCACCGCGACAACGATCGTGGCACAGATTGCTGCGCTCGCGGCAATCGTGATCTTGTCCATGTTCGAGGTGGGCGAGTTCTCCGTCCTGACCTCGCGACATTGATTGTACGGCACATTCGCCGGTGTGATGTTAGTCTCCTCCAGCGAGACTACGCAAACTACGATGCATTCCTGCAATCGATCGACATTATGTGAATAAATTGATTAAAAATTTAAAGTTAAAAAGATAGTATCGACAGGTGATTTGGATTAATTTGTGTCTTAGAAAACTGTGAGCAAAGTTAAAAGTTTAAAATATATATATAAAAGTTTAAAATTTAATAAAGGCTGGTTAACTTTTGCAAATTAAAAATATATCATATCGTTAAAGGATTCTGTCAATCGTATCTTCTCATTTATTACAATTCAGACATTTGTCTTTTATATTTAAGTTTCAAATGTAATGATGAGTACTTTAATGAATGAAATTAACTTATTCCATTAGTCGAATTATACATATTAAAATTGCTTTACGCATTTTAAAGAAGATTAAAAGATTAAGTATTAATTATGTAAAAGTAATTCTGTTAGTACATTTTTAATTAGATGTCATCTAATAATTTATTTCTTCTTTATTTTTAATTTTTTAGGTGTTATTTTCTTGATAAAAAGATATCTCGTTACCTGAGAAGGTACGTTCTTGATCTTGAATTCGCGTTCGCTAGCCTCGAGCGGCGGCGCCTGCTTGAAACTATTATCTCCGAACAACCGATAAATCACTCTGAAACCTAGAATGTTAGTCGCCTCCGTGTCCCAATATATGATGACCGCATTGTCTTGTCTGAGCACGTCTTTCACCACGATGTCTTTCTCATTCGATTTTGACTTGTATAATGGCGATCCTAAAACCAACGGTGGCCTTGGCTGATGCTGCTGCATCTGCTCCTGTGATTGTTTTGGCGATGACGGAGTGGTCCTCACGACCACGACGTTTCCGGTTCGCGCAGCAGTCGGTCGGGTTGTCGGGACATAAGTCGAAGGTGGCGCCGATGGTGCCGTTCTCCTCTGCTCGGTCGTCGACGACACCGTTACCGTGGTCGTGGACAGTGTCGTACTGGTGATTGATTCGGTTGAAGAAATTGTTGGACGTATGGTAGGAGAATGGGTACCAACAGCTTCAGCTACTGTTTCCGTCGGTTCTCTGGTGTCCACGCTCTCCACCGTTCCAATTCCGATTATCTCTGACGGTCGTTCGCAATTCATATCTGCGACAATTAGTTTTTATAATCCTATTCATATAATATTCCAACATAAAAAATTTTAAATATCGAGGTTGGATTTCTCTCACTCTACGTATTTCTTTTTAATTAAAGTGTTGACAGAATTATTTTTCTCTTAATTTTTTGAATTAATAAAATTGAAATCTTTCAAAATTAAAAATATATTAAATTTTACAAATAATTAAATTTTTGCAATAAGAAAAAGTTATATTTTCCAAACTAGATTTTTAAATTAGGAAAGTTTTACTTTTTTGCTAGATAGATACTAATTTTCTGTGTGAAGTTTTGAAAAAGAATTAATTTTCGAAAATAAAGGAAAGCGCCGATGAAATAGATTTTACCATCGGGATCGATGTTGTAGAAGCTCTTGTCTTGTAACCGCTGTGGGCTGCCGCAAAATTGTGGCTTGCGCTCGCGGCTGGTGACCTGCAGATCTCGTGTTTTGATCCACTCAACGATCCAACGTAGCCGGCAATCGCAGACGAGGAATCGTCCACCCAGACTCAAGCCGCGCAGGGTACCGTTCAGCCGGGCGAGTGCTTCTTCCGGTACCGTTGACAACGGGTTACCATCGATTGCTAGTAGCGTGATTGACGGATTTCCTTGAAAGGCATTGACTGGTAGTTCGGTGATCAGATTGAATCCAATGTCCAGCACCTAGAAACATTTGATTCAATCTTCGTATTGATATTAATGAAAATAACGCAGTCGAATCAAGTCAATAAGAGGCAGTCGGTGCGGAGTAATTAATTAAGAAAAAACGCATAAACATCTTTGTTTTAGGAACGTTTTATTAAAAATTTAATTGAAGACTCACGAGAAAGAATATTGAGAATATTAACGATAATTTTTTTAAACTTTTGCAATTACTTACTCTAAGATCGTGAACGCTGTTGATAGCCGCCGTAGGGAAATCTGGGATGAGATTGTTTAACAAACTCAGAGAGCTCAGGGTGTTTCTGATGCCGTAGAACGCATCCGGGCCGATATTCTGAATCAAGTTTCTCTCGAGGTTTAATCCTGTGAGGGAATCGAGGCCTTCGAAAGCTTTAGTTCCAGACGTGCCGGGAAGCTCGCGAATGCTGTTCTGCGATAGATCGAGGAAGGCCAAGGTTCTCAGGCCTCTGAGCGCGTCTGGAACTTTCTTCTGCCGCGTTCCTTTGAGATTGAGATTCTTCAAAGTTCTCTCCAGGCCGCGGAACGATCCCGGGGCAAGAGTGACCTCATTGTCGGAGAGTTTCAACGTGATGAGCTTAGTGCCGGTGAAGGCGTTGTCGTTGACCCTGGTGATCTTGTTCATCGAGAGATCGAGCACGGTGAGGTTCTTCAGAGTCTTCAGATTGACACCGGGAATTTCCGTGAGCTCGTTATCTTTGAGATTCAAACTCTTCAGATGATTTTCCTGGCCTTTGAAGGCTTCCGGCTCGATACTTCTGATGCGGCAGCCGGACAGCTGTATATTGTTGATCCTCAAGGTGGCGAACGAGCCATTCCTCAGGGCACCGATTGTGCTATTATTGATGTAGAAGAGATCAATCGGCGTTTTGGTAGCGTAACGCCGCATCGCCGACAACAGCTGCTCATAATCGACAATGTCGCACTGAACTGATAGCTCGCCAGCTAGATTGTAATCGCAGATGCACGAGCTCTCGAGATCCACCGCATGCTGCGCCCACGGACAAGCGGACGTCGTCGCCGCGACGACGAACGCGCCCGCCAGCAGCAGCAACAGCTCCTTCAAAATTATATCTGAAAATCGGAACGTAAAAATTATTTAGAAAATGATAATAAAGAGCCTATAGAAAGTAAAAATTATTATTTTAGCTGTAAAAATTTGTGAGAGAATGAAGCGGATGATTATTGGAAAAACACGCGCATAGGATTTTAAATCAACGTCGCTTTTCATATCACGTATTAAATGATGCACGAAAATATTTATACATAACACTTTTGACTTCAAAATAGAAAAGAGAATTAGATTAGAATAAATTTAGATAATTTAGAAAAAGTTAATATATTTTAACATTTTACAAAAAAAAAAATACAAGTATTACGTGAATCAGGTTCTATGAGATTTCTCGAATAGGACGAATGTCATTGTATCGATGTTGCAACATGGACGTAGGGAACGTATCTTCTTAGAGAAAGCGTCAATTCCTTTGGGCCCACGTGAGTATGTACACGCGGGATTTCGAAACGTGTCGCAACGTGTCGACTGGTACATTCTCGCAATTATGTTGCTTTTCATTATGACGCCTTCCGCGCCTTCCTTCGCAGAAACCTTCCTTGGGACAGGTCATTCCGCAAACGTGAAATGCCATCCGACCATTTTCGTCGAGCGCATTATTCTCGCAATTCCACAACACTCTTGTTCCTCGCGGATATCGACGAAACGGAGCGTGCAATTTCGCGTTTTTCTTTTTTCCGCGTGACGTTCTATTAACCTTGCGCCGGTGAAAATTTATGGCATTCGCGTCTCGGGAAATCTTTCGTCTTTTTCTATCAAATATCTCGTAAACGTTCTTTTCTAAATTATTCGTGCAACCTTTATATGTGTAGAATTGGATTTCCTGAAAGGGCTTAGGAGTTTGTTATACCGTACACGAGCGTTACGGTAACGGCGAGAATGATCCATTTCTCCGCATATATGATTGAACGAAAGCATTAAATTGGACGACAACAAACTCATCAAATTTGTGTCGAAGAATAATTGCGGGTGAAAAGTCAATTGAGAGAAACTGCCATGATATTTCATATTGAAATTTATAATAGTAGACATTTAAATACGTTCTATTGTTATCTGAATGATATAAATTTTTATAAATTCCAAAATATATAGTTAAATTTTTAATTGCATATTTTATTAAATATTAATATAATTATATTAAAATATAAATATAAATATTCAAATATAACATGCATGAATTATAAAATCAAAATATTAAACGTTTGCATAAGTTGAAATTAATCGTGTTATTTCTGTTACATTAGATTTTGATCCAAAATGTTTCATGTAATTAGACTTTCACGAGGAAAATCAAGCAATTCAGTTTCTTAATGATAACTTAGTGTAATATCAACGTAATAATAATTACTAGAAACTTCTTATGCAGCATGCAGGACAGGTTCGAAAATGCCAAATAAATGAAAAAAATTTAACGCGATAAATTAATAAAAATTAAAGAATTATTTTTTTAATTCTAGAAATATATGATCCTTATATCTCTGAGCAAAGTTGGGGATGAAAATCCTTCTATTGTTTTTATTGTACAATCAAATCTATAAATACGAGTTTAACATCATTTTGTGTATCTTGCCTGCGCGTACCTGTTCTTGGTGTTTGGATACTTGATTCGGACATACAATAATTTCGAAGGGTGAATCTTTGTTTTGACAGACAGGTAAATTTCAATTGAGACAGGTACTTTCAATAGTTGGAATAGCTGTCATGATCGAAACCCACAGGAATTCGTGCACCGTAAGGTGCTATCGATAGCGAGATCGGGCCGAGGACACGTATCACGCGTAACACTCCGGCCGTTGACTCGTAACGGGTTCGTTCTATGGGCTCGAGTTCGTTCAACGAGGCGTTCTCAAGCGCTGGTCACACCGGCTTTTCTTACTCCATCGCGATTTTCCACGGTTATCGTATCTCGCGAACGCGTATCCATCACAAGTGGTCTAAATGACCTCTTAGGGTGGCGCCTCTTTAACCTTTCGAATTTACGTTATGCTTGTTATTTTTTTTTTTTTTTTTTTTTAATTAAAAATTCTTTGGATTCTTTGGATTCCGCAAGATAATCTCGAAAGGATTAAATAGAGAAGCAGTCTCATAGTTATTTGTATAATTTTCAGTTTTTTTCGTTTTCAACTCTTCGAGATTCGCGATATTTTGGATTTTGTTTCCACTGGACGAAGATTGATTTTTCCTTTCGCGTTGAATAGAATCTGAAGTTTCTCAGCGCTCAGGTCGACGCACCTATTATACGCGTACGCACGATAATGACTGTTGGATTATTACACGTTGCGCCGCATTTCCGTTTCAACACCCCGGAGCATCGCGGCCGGACTTTCGAGATTTTCCCGATCTCACGTTGTCCGCGTTAACACACCCATCTCTCTCATGAATTCTCGCGAATGCGTATCGTGCACTCTGCACGTGATTGCAGTAGTACATCAGGAACGCGGACAAGTAGGAGTAAAGTAGGTTGAGTCTTCCACCCGAGACACATTACTTCATCGTCGTGCAGAAGGAATGTCGTGCGCGTGCGACGTTAATCACCGAAGCAGCCGGAGAGAGGGAACTCGAAAATCCCTTTCGAATATCGAGAAAGCCCCGGTGTATGTCAAGGCCGATCACATTGCGAAAGACAGTGCGCTGTCGTCATAGGAATGTTTATAAAGGACCAAGCGAGAAGAATATTAAGGAATCTTCTGTGGTATATTCCCATGAATCAAATGCTTACAAACGTAGCTTCTTCTGAGAGATTTCAATTGTTGTCGCTTGCAAAATTTTTTTTTTTGCTGGGCTTTATGTCGAGAACGTCTAGCTCGCGGAACTGTTTAACCTAGTTTTAATTGCACGAGTAGGCTCCTCACTTAGGTTTGCGAGTAATTAGCGAGTAGATTTCTTCGCCGTTTCACGAGATCGACTTCCGACTGCGCGTTTGCATAAACGCGTACAGCAATTATGGCCGGGTGTAAAAATCTGGGAAAACGGCTTACCTTTCACATTTTTCGCGCTTGCTGCGATGGTATCTCGGCGATCGACTTCCGGATTAAAAAGTATTTGTGGCAGCGGAGTCACCTAGATCGCAAGTGTGCAGCTATAATGTTTATTCCCGATCTCTCTTGGTGCTCGAGGTCGACGAAAGGAATATTGCGGACCTTTCACTTACGATCTGATTATTTCCGTGCAAATACGTAAACGTGCTCTTTTCCGATATCGCGGCATTTGAACTCTTTTCCTTCCTCCGCCGCGAGAATAAAAAAAAGCCTAGCGAACCGGCCTGGGAAAATATTATGAGACTGACGGAAATACCAACAAGTAAATCTAAACAAAATTTGTACGTATGCGAGCGTAAAGACCGGGGAGTGCTTGAAGTTTAAAATCCAAGAGATGAATTTATGTAAAAGTAAGCAGCAACTCTTACGAAGGAAGGCCATTGTGCGTCGGAACGCGGGATGCCAGTGTGAATTAATTTATCTAATTAATTTCTCTTCCCATATTTCATTATATGAAGGATATCTTGCGTAACAGTCTGCAAATTTTAATAACTGGAATTACAAATTGTGGAATTATAAATCATGCATAATTATCCGGAAGGAAAACAATTTCAGCCAAAAGTAAACGATTTCTGTTGTATATCATTAAATGCACGATGAATATTCAAGTTTTTTCCTTGATATCCCGTATTCTGTCTAATAATGATCTGTCTGTATGGAATTTAACTTCATTAAGCCTTTTACTAATTTAAATAAAGAGCTTTCTCGCATTCATTAGCTTTAAAGATCGTTATTAAAAATCAAATTCTGGTTGGCAGATATCAATCGTGCGTGATCGATGTAAAAATCATGCACTCATAATATTTGATATCCGGCACGATCTCGCGTTCGTAAAGAATTTTCAGAGCGCAATGGACGATTTGGATCGCCGTAGCGGCTAGGAAAGAAAAAAGAAAAATAAGAACCGCGCAGGTGCGAGTAATGAATTAATTAAACTGGCCATCGTTACGGCGCCGGAACACTTGTTAATGAGACCAGGTTGCTAGTTAGCGTGGCGTATTATATCCTTAACTATAGCGCGCATGGCTTGTTACCGATTATTATTCGCTATCGTGAGCAATTCGCGCGAAAAATTTATTTCATATCTAATATATTCTCTACAAAATTATCTTTTTACACAAAGAAAAAAATGGCAAGATTGGAGATATGAATAATAATATATATCCTAGTAGATCAAAAATTTTATCAAAGAAAATGTATAATACTTTGATAAAAATATGTATATATAAATATGTGAAAGTGTAAAACTGTAAATGCGTGGGTATATCTATGAATATGCATTTGTGAGCAATGAAAAAAGTAGAAAAGTCACGCTCTGTCACTATTCGATATTTGTAAAAATTATAAGATAAGAATTTTCATATTTTATTTTTGTATTGCAATATCTTTGTTCATCGAGATAGAAGATATCGAAATGAAAGTTAAGTTTATTTTTTTACTCTAATTATTATTATTTATTAAACTTATTTTTGTTATATAATTTAGTATTCATTGATTAAATCTAGTCGGAATTTAATTAACTCAGTCATCGCTAAGATGTGAAAATAATGATAAACTGCATTTATCTTGGCTCGTTAAGAGAATCACAGGCATCTTGCCACTGTTTTATGCAAATTTCATTGCGTGTAACTTAAATGCGAACCATTATCGCGACTCTTGATATGAAACATTGAAAAATAATCTAATAAATTTTTGATCAAATCTAATTCTATATCTGAAAAAAAATGTTTAGTTGGCTAAAGAATATCTTTGTATTATTAATTTTGTCAATTTTATAGAAATATAATTTTAGGTAAATTATAGGTAAATTATGAAATTATTGTAACATACTTTTAATTTATTTTAATGTATTTAAATGATATAGTCTCTACAATACTCTCTTTCTTAATTTTGTAGATAATCTCGAGACTATCGTTTAATTACGCGGTCAAACTCCTGAAATAATTAACTTGTAATGAGTGCAA